GGAAAGAGATAGCTAATAATTTAAGTAAAGAGGTGAATCACAGGTGGTACCTAAATAGGGGACTCTATAGCACTCTGGGAGGCCGAGGTGGGTGGACAGCTCAAGGTCAGGAGTTTGAAACCAGCCTGAGCAAGAGTGAGACCCCCGTCTCTACTAAAAAATAGAAAGAAATTAATGGGCCAACTAAAAATATATAGAAAAAATTAGCCGGGCATGGTGGCACATGCCTGTAGTCCCAGCTACTCAGAAGGCTGAGGCAGAAGGATTGAATGCTCAAGCCAAGGAGTTTGAGGTTGCTGTGAGCTAGGCTGACGCCACGGTACTCTAGCCTGGGCAAAAAAAAAAAGGGGGGGGGACCCTAAATGTCCACTTTGGGTTTCCAGCTATCCCCAAATCAAGAAGAAATGTGACAATTGGTAGGTTAACTGAATTAGTAGGGACAGCCCAAGTGGATCGGGTAGGCCAGCCAATCATCTGCAGGGCTGGCCTGTCACCACCATTGATGCCACCAAGTGGATGGCTGTTGGGTTTCCACTGGCTCCGTGTTGCAGGGACTCAGCAGGACCAGAACCACCGGGAGCACAGCCACCCTTCCCAGATGTGGCCTGTGCAGGAAGTGAGGACACCCAGGGCCACGGCCAGCTCCTCCCCCATCTTGACTGTTCGAGGGTGTAACACTGGCGCATGCAGCCAAGGGAGATGAGGAGGGGACTGGCTGCCCTTACATACAGGTGAGTCTCAGAACTTGTGACAGTGACTTTTAGTTCAGCCTTCTGGATAATCACATGTAGACCAATCTGCTGTTTTATAACGGGCCTGTGTTTGCCACAGGAAGCAGCACATCACTGAGAACAAACAGATGGGTAGGGGGATGCATGCCTGCGCACATACACAGAGAGTGAGCGTTCTCATTCTGGGGAGCTCCCGTGAGGACTTGCCCCGAGTCGCTGGCTAACGGCTGCGGACGCCGGTTCTGAGCAAAGTGAGACCCGTGGAGTCTTGGTAGAAAAAGACAGGAGCTGCAGGACGCCACATGCAGGGTGTCACCAGTGAAGCGTCCTCCCTACGTCGCGCTGCCATGTGAGGGGACTATTTTAAGGTCTTCGTCGAGGCTTTCTAGGGCTCCCGACTGCCTCATCCTTCTCGCGGAGGACTGCCCACCTGCGCCTCCCAGGGGCAGACGCTGCGGCGCCATTGCGCGGGGTTTACACTGTTGGCAGGTGGGCCCTGCTGATTGGACAGCGAGGGAAAGCCTGACCCCGACGGCGCCTCGCTATTGGCTGGACTGGGCCAATCAGACTCTCTGTCCCGGGCGTCGGTTGTCGGGACACAGTGTCAGCCTCTTGGGAGCCTAGAGGGGACGTAGGGTTTCTTGCCCGCGGATGCGCAGAGAACAGAGGCGTCCTCAGTGTAGAGACAGGAAAGGATGACACAGCTGGGGCTAGAGAGGCGGAAGTGAGGGGCCGCGGGGGGCCCTAGAAATGCAGAGAGCTTCCGCTTCCGGGTTGCAGGCCACTATGAGGACGGTGAGGTTCCTACCGCCAGGTTCTGTGGATTTCCCTGTGTTCTAATAAATCCCCTGTTACTCGAGCTAGTCGGAGTGGGCCTCACTCCTGGCAATAAAACCATCTTTAAAGGGTGCTCTGTTTTGCTGCCTGGAGTATTTAAGATGTCAGGTCATGGTCGTGGGGGCTGGAGGAAGGGACGTAGGAACCGGGGAGAAGGAAGGGAAGTTTTCATTTTCCTTCCTTGGACAGTCACGCCTAGGGGGGAAATATTTGGAGTAGTCTTAAGGCCTAGTACATTCTTTTCCAGAGGACAAGAGTGTCTCTTGGGACAGTCATTTTTTAAATGGATTTGGAAAAAATTATGAAGTCATTAAAGCTTGCCTGCACTGCCCAGGACTTCCAGTCTGTCTTTCTGTGCCCTTCTTTTTGATCCCTCCTTCTCCCACCCAGGATAGGTAGAGTGGGTTGAATGATGTCCCTCCAAAATTCATGTATACCAGAACTCCAAATGTGGGCTTTTGATGAGATAGTCTTTGTACAGATGTAATTGGTTACATTAAGATGAGGTCATACTGGAGTAGGGTGGACTGTAATTAAACTTAATGACTAGTGTCCTTATAAGAAGACAAGGTACACTGATACATACAGGCAGGAAGGCCATGTGACGATGGAATCAGGTTACAGTGACACAGCTACAGGCCAAAGGATTGCTGGCAACCACAGGAAAGTAGGAGAGAGGCATGGAACAGATTCCTCACTGGAGCTCCAGAAGGAACCAACCCTGCCGACACCGTTATTTCAGACATCTGGCCTCCTGATCTGTGAAAGAATGAATTTCCGTTGTTTAAGCCATCCGGTTGGTGGTAATTTGTTACCGCAAACTGAGGAAACTAATGCAATAGGGAAAAGGGCTGAGGACCTTCCCTGGAATGTTGGCATTTTTTAGGTTACAATAGAGAAGAGGGCAGAGTTTCATACCAATGTATGAATTACTAATATTGACTCTTCACGCTCCACTGGGAAAGCTATTTCGGAATAAGTGTAATCAAAATGCAAACAAGTAAGTGCTGCCTGTTCTATTTACACTTATTTACCCTTTTGACAAAAGGAAACATATGTTTATTTGGCACCCACTATGTGCCAGGCAATGTGTTCATGCCTTCACATTTCACTTAATTCTCACAATAATTCCTGCCCTGTGGCATTATGCTGTTCTGGAAACTGAGGCTCAGAAAGCATAGACACCTGACTAAAGGGCACAGAGCTAACAAGGGCAGGCATAAAGTTCTAATTCTGGGCCTTCTCCAAAGTTCAAATAATTTCCAACAAGTCATTGTGTCCTTAAGGAAAAGCACTTATTTTATAATATGATCAGTGTGTAACTGCTGGAGTCCCAGGCTCGGAACTTGAAGCAGCCAACCTTTCTGTATGGGTGACCCCCCTCCCTTGGAGACCCTCATGTCCTTACACAGTAGCATTTCCTGGGGTTTGGCAAGGCTACCTGGGCAAATGATGCAAAGGGCATTACTACTCAGGAGGAGTAGAAATCTGACTCGCTGTCAGATGACATGGAGCCCTGGGAGAGGGAGATGGTAGCCTTTCTTAGGGAGGTAATCTGGCAGTGCAGCCCCTGGAGGCGGGCCTTGCATGGGGGAAGGGGGCGCATAGAAATGCTACCCTTTCTCTTACATCACTTGCCAGCATGCTATGCCTTTCCACATGTTTTCTAATTTGACCCCTATAACTTCCGCAGATGATGTGATTAGCCCCAATGAACAAATAGATGAGGAAACTGAAGATCAGAGAGGCTGAGAGTCTTGTCCAAGGTTGCACAGCTAAGATCCCCAATATAGCCCTCCTTCTCACATGACACTTTACTCCACTGCCATAGGAAAAGTCAAATGATTCCTGTTTTTGAAGCACTTTCTACCTCAACAGAAGTCTGAAAGGTGAGAATAAATCAGAGAACAAGAGAAAATTGCTGTGCATAGCCATTGATTTTGGCTGCTCAGACCCCTACTCTCTCCCCCAAGCCTGATGTAAGTGGCTGGCCAATCAGAGAGCCCCATCTGTTTGGCCACTATGATTGGGCCAGGAGTGGCCACATGAGCTAATCTAGGCCAATCACAGGTCTTTAATTTTCAACCGGAGCCAGGATAGGGTGGGGATTGGCTCTTGCCAACCTAGACAGAAAAACAGATCCCAGAGCAAGAATCTTGATGGGGAATGGGTGGTGGAGATGTTCATCCTGGATCCATCTGTGCCTGACACCAACCCATCCACATTCTACCCATTACCTGAGAAACAGATTCCTTTTTTCTTGAGCTGGTTTAAGTTGAATTTCTGAAAGAATTGCAGCTAATCAGTCTTTGTCCACAGAATTGAACCACATACTTATTAGTTCAGATAGACTAACAGGCCCCCAAATAAGTCAAGGCTCCCAAAACAAATCGATTTCACATTCATGTAAACAGTTCAAGGCAATTCAGGTGGGTGGTGGGGTAGAAATAACAGAAGGCAAAGTCTCTCCCAACTTCCATGTGGGCCTCCACATGGAGTACACCCTGGGCATGAACATCAGCCAGTGGAAAGGAAGAGAACACGGAGGATCAAATGTGGGAGATCTTTATGGTCCAGGCCCGGGACTCGGATAGCTGGGGTAACATAGTCTGGATAACAGCAAGGAAGGCTGGGAAATGTAGTTTGGCTAGTGTCCAGGAAGAGAGGAAGCAGGTTTTGGTGACCAGCTCTCTGCTTCTGCCAGACTTGGAAACATGTTCAGACCTTGTCACCTCCTTTTAAGGCCCCTGCCCTGACAGTCCACTCCTCATTAGCACCTGTCCTTTGGAGCCAGGCTCAGGATCCCTGGAGAAGAGAGGGCCCTCTGGTGGGCTCCCTGAACACCTCAGAAAGGGGAGAGGGATCCCAACCAGAGCCACTGTCTTAGGAGCATCATCTGGTGCAGCGGGAGGGAGGGCCCCCACACACAGATGCCTCCCTGGAAGGCTGTAAGTTCTCCAGCGCCTCCTGGGAGTAGTTCTATGAGAGCCCCCCAGGGGAGAAAGGGCACTCTCCACTCGCTCTCCCGCAGGCCGACTCAGCCTGCCTGCTCCAGCCGTCTCCTGCTGCAGAGCCTTGACTGAGGAGTTCGGCCTGATGGTCTGAGATACTAGCAGGCTGCTATTAGTCCCCAAGTCACCAGCATACAGTCTGGGGCTTTTCTTGCTCTCCATTGTTCAGTATATTGAGGCCAAGGCTGAGCCTTTGGGCCCTGGGATGCCCAGTCATCTCACAGCTGCCCTGAGCCCCTTGGAGAGCACCCAGTGACCAGCCCTCTTCCCTTGGGTCACTTTGGGGCCTCTAACTTTGCAGACTTGGGACAGTCAAGCCTATGTGCAGAGCCTGCTGTCTCTTCTGTACCCTTGGAGACTCCTCCACTGCCCTCCAGGTGAGGAAATTCTTACCAGGCCCTTTCCAGCCAACAGGGAAGACCACTCCCAATAAGGCCTGTCCTTTACCACCTAGTCTTAGCATGAGCCACAGGCCCTCAGCCCGCAAAACACAAGAAGCAGATAGCTACAATCTGGTATTGAAACCAGCAAAAATCCTAGATGCTAGAGTCTCATGGCTCATCTCCTGGCCTGGCAGCCCTATACTTTTTTGGCATCCTCTTGCATGGTCAGACATCTGCAACATTAATTATTACAATTAAATCTGGGGGAATAAAATCTTACTGCACTCCCCTTGCCACTGCCTGCCTCCCCCACCAAAATGGAGTATCTTATTTTGCTAACTGCTTAAACATAAAACTCCGGCAGAAAAAAATTGTCCCCACAGCTCATATTTTTCATCATTTGGTCATTAAATAGCAATGGATATAAACCTATAAAGAACCTAAACTGAACCTTTTAACAATCCATGAGCAATACTATCATTTCTTTAATAGAACCTGCTGACCGTGCCTCATGCAGACACCATTTGTCATTTTCAGCACACAATAATCAATAAGTTGGCTTGAAAATAAATAATATAACAGTCACAATATATTATCTTTCACACTGGCCTTATACTAACCATAAAATGGGACCAAAACAAGAGAGAAACTTTTACATAAATGTTAAAAAGTTAGAAACATCACAGTTGGGACCAACGCAGGAATGAGACCCATGCCAGGGTCTCTGTCCCTAATTTGCTTTGAATTCTGTTGAGCTGGGCCCTTGCTGCCATCCACTGCCTGTGCAGTTGGAGTAAGAATGCAGAAACCAGGCAGCAGGGTCACAGTCACTTTTGTATGTGGGGGCCAAAAGTGAGAGGGTTCTGTCACGGGCTATATTACCCAGGTGCAGACATCCTGAGGCTTATTCCAGGTGCCCTGGATCATAATTGCAAACTGAAAGGCTTAACTGGCCACACATTCAGTGCCAGGGCTGGGAGGCAGTTTGCTTAGATCCAAGTGGGGGCCACATCCCACAGTCAGCTTCAGGGATTTGTGTTCTATGGGGGAGAAATTCCACAGAGAATCCAGGCCACCAGGTGGCACTGATGGAGAGTGGGTTCGAGAAGCAGCAATGGAGTGGCCCTGGGTCACAGTGAGCTTGTCATCCGTCCTTTAGCAGCCCCCTCTGCAGCTCAGCCTTAAGTCTGCTGGCCATCCAGTGCTGTTCTTCAAGAGCAATGAAGGACCCATCTCCAATTCACTCATGCATGCATTCATTCATTTTTTAAACAAATAGTTGCTGAGAGTCTATTTAAGTACCAGGCACTGTTCTAGATACCAGGTTGACAGCAGTGGAGCAAATAGACTAAAAAAGCCCTCCCAGAGCTTAGACACTAGTTGGGGCAATACAACAGATGGGATGTGGAACTCTGTCGTGTGTCAGGAGGGTGGTCGGTGCTAGGGAGAACTATAAAGCAGAGTAAGGGGACAAGTTCAAGTCCGTGCCCTTCACACCAAGTCCCTGCTGGTTCCTGGGTGC